GACTACTACGTAGTGTGTATATTTTCACGCAGTTTTACACCAATTCACGTAAAACGGGTTGTGAAACTCCAATGATTTCCGTCACCACACTGTGAGATGAAGAAAAGGTATCTATAAAATTTACGTGATTCTGGCCAGCGTGAATTTCGCTCTTGCCGTTTTTATAATAATAACTGTGAAGATGACCGCTTCACTTTCGTGTATGATAGCATCTAGTTATATCTAAGCCTTGCTGAGCGTAGGATATTGAATTTTCGAACTTGCCCGAAAAATACGATCCTCGGAAATATAACATTTCGGGCAGTCGTCTTGGGGGAATTCCCAGTGTAAATTTTGTGTTTTTTAAAACAAAAAACTTTTTGATTTTCCGAAATGAAGGATGCTAAGAAGGGAAAATTATGGGTGTTTTTTTCGGAATATATTCATCACGTTAAAGTATCATATAAATATTCGCCGAATTTGTGAGAAATCAATTTTTTACGCGTTTTCGTAAGAAAAACATACGCATAGTAGAGGAATTCGATATTCGTTTATCTCAGCAAAGGAGAGAGAGGAAAAGTGATATTACGAGGAGCATGTATACATTGTTATTGATGTTGTCGCACTGTCAAGTCTACGGTGATAGATTTGTGTTAGTCGGATAGTGTTTAATACTAGAGTTAGGAGGCCCTGACGACTTGGGGTGGCTGGGAGCTGATGCTTCTTAGAAGTTCAAGATTATTTGATGCGATATTAGTTTTGATGAAGTCATCGATTAACCGAGCAGCGGTCTCGTAGTTATGCACAAGTTGAAACCTGACTGGAGACAACAGCTTTTCTCGCTATCTTTCTGTGGTGACACTGAATCGGTGTCAATAGTGATATTATATTTGAGGACATCTCCGTTATTTATATCTTATATAGGATAGCGTATTCATACACTATTAATCTAATACTATCTATTTATATATTTTTATGAAGTTTATTATAGAGTTTTACCCAGTGTTATGAAATCTCCGCCGTCCATCTCGACAGTACCCAGCCCGATGATGCATGGTGTAGCGGGCGCTTTGGCGAGCACTATGTCAATAGTTATATTATACCCGATCGATCAAATACGTAGTACTCTGGGCAATATATGTTTGCTTTCATCATCACCTGAGCTAAGGAGTTTACTCACTAATTTTAGTAGTTTCGGGTAGAAATGTACAGAAATGATCGAGAATTCCTCAAAAATTTTTCCCAGAATTTCCATACTATCAAATCCTAGGGGAGATTGCACTACGTCTTATGTTATTTATATTAATTAATTTCAATTTCGTGCAGAAAATTGGATTTCGTTAAATTGTCTATGCATCTGTAAGAATGGGGCGCAATGTCTATACATGGGAATTAGTTCCAGTGCATATATGTTCTAGATGGTATTGATCTCTCTTGGCACGCATGCTCAGAGTATTGGTAGTTGTGCTGTTCGTACTCTTCCCGTGCATAGTTAGCTTGTTACGCTGTAGTCTTTAGAACATATACCGCAACAACAGGCACTTTCGTGTTGTACATGCGTGCAGAATTATTCTGGCTTAACTACGAAGCGTGAGAGGCTATCAGATAGATCAAACGACTCCTCTATATGCGAAGGTGTTGGAAAGAATCGGAAAACTCAATTATGCGAACAGTGTATGATATTACGAAGCTTTTCTACCATCATCCTGTTGAGGTGTTCGTTCCTGTGGCCGCCTGCTTCTGCAACAATATATTATATATATATATAATATATGTGTATACGTGTATATAGTCTTACGTGATCGTCCAGTGAATGTGGAGCTTAGGCACTTTACAGCAAGCAGCATCATCGTCTTCCCAGAATGGTTCAATACTCCTATCTCAACTACTATCCTTAAAGACCTTACCATCGCTGTATAAGGGAATAGGAAGCTCAGTAGAAGCCATGCTAGTGAGCTACTTTGTTTTCTTCTTTACATTTGCGTAAGCCTCTGCCAGATCTGTAGTGTAAGTAGCGCGCGCCCGATTCAGATACTTCAGACGAATGAAGTTGAAAATTTCTGGTAGGAGTAAACCAAGCCCAGTTGACAATCTGGTGTCGTCGATAGGTGCGGGAATACTCAATGTAACTTTTTGATCGAGCAGCTCGTACATTTCTATATAAACTTCTAGAAAGCGCTATGATTCAAAATTTTTCAAAATTATGATGTATTGGTATTATATATCACAATTATTCGATGATGATATCGATTTGAATATATTCATATAATTATGAAAATATGTGATTGAAAATTTCCGAGAATTTTCATACCAACACACGAAAATTTCCAAAAAAAATTAAATCCGAGATATATTAGGATCAGCATGAGCATGGATCTGTGTTCGGTGAAGAATGTCTGAGTAATCTGAATTGGCATTCATACATTGGAGTTTCACCCGTTTAACCCGAAGTGCTGTGATACTGCATGTGAAAAACGCGATATTCGCGATGTCAAGGGAATTGAAAACACTTTGCGGATTACACTGGACAGATCACTCGCAGTAGCTTACGCGTTATTCACTGCTCTGTGAAATGTAAAAAATGTTTTTCACTAGTGTTTTCCATATCACGGGGGAAAGTCCATCCAAATTATCAGGTATTAATAACGAGCCCCCTGTGGGTATATGCCACGAATAAGCGCCTGGGCCTGGGGGCGGCTGAACGCGGAACCTCTTTTGTATCGTTCCTAATGAAAACAGAAAAATGGACAGATTTGTGGAAAGGTAGTCCGACAAGGGCTGTACTGTAAGTAGCATTGAGGAAGGACAGCAACAGTGGAGTTTCACTCGTTTAACGTGAAGTGCTGTAATACTCCATGTTAATTATAGGACGTGTACACGTCCTATAATTTACACGGAAATTTACACGGAAATTTACACGGAAATTTACACGAAAATTCACACGGAGTAAATCGTGAATCATGCTTCTCACTAGTATTTTCATATCTCGGGTGAAATTCCAGTGATACGTACTTGTGCTGATACATCCTGCCCGAATGTGGAGCCACGATGATCTGGATTGACCATAGAAGGTCACATATAGGGCCTACCATGCATATACATTATCATCATAACACTAACCTAGGACCTTGCCCTCCTGTGCTCTGTCAACCTGGCTGACATCGTCGAGGGTGTGGTCTTTTGATGAGGATAACCCTCCAGGTACAGCTGCATCACTGTGGCTGGTGTGCAATCCTGTAGTGCACTTTGTTGTTTATGAAACAGGACGACTAGCATTGCTGAGTCAGGAGCTTAATACGGTACTACTGGATATACATTGGGGTTTCACCCGTTTCACGTGAAGTGGCGTGATACTCTGTAAAAAACCGATATTCGCGGTGATATGCAGTAGTCGTGAAATATATTTCTCACTAGTGTTCTTCATATCAATAGGGTTATTATCATCATGATGATCGTCTGAAAATTGAAGTCTGTATTTGAATTTGGTATAATTTTCTTGCACACAGTGGAATGTACAGGGGTTTCACCCATGACATGAAAAACACTGGTGGAAAACATATTTCACAAACCGCTGCATAGTGCGAATATTGCGTTTTTCACTGAGTATTACGCCACTTCACGTAAAACGAGTGAAACTCCATTTATATCTCGTGGCCAGGTGAGCAGCTCGAATGTGGGCGATGATACTCCACGAGTGTTGACGGACAGGCAAGCGTTGGTCCTGGGAGGGGCCGCTAAGTTCTGCGCAACTATGGCTACTTATCCACTCCAGGTAAACGAGTTAGTGCCTACGCGGTGTTGGAGCCTCCAACACTGCAAAGTTACAACAATAACATGTTCGCTTTCCTCAGCTGAACTCAGAAGTTTGCATACAAATTCGGGTGAAAGTGTATAGAAATCGATAAGAATTTCCCGAAATGTTCTCGGAATTTTCATATTGTCACCAACACATGTGCATATTTACTCCTCACACTGTTATAGATTTCCCTGTCAGCTTGTACAAACGAAGTTGCGAGCCCAAGGGTCCTCAGAGACTGGGTCTACTTTGGGATGCCTCTTGGATGTGTATAGACGAAGTGGTGTGATAGGCTGCTATTCGGGTCTGCAAGCCAAACTTGCTCAAACTGTAAGGGGAAGGTCCCCGGACCGGGGACCCCGGTTCGATTCTGGGTGAGAGCATCTTGGACTTTAGGTATTAAATGCAATGTTGATGTCTGTATTATACGAGAGGATCCTCAATCTGGTTCATCATAACTCCTCGGTTGTGTCGGCTGCTTTGAAGAGGTACCGAGCAAAACTGGCCGAGTGACCCATGTTCGGTCCCCGGCGGCCGAATTTCTATATTACAGTTTGAGAAACAAGCTCTATTCCGTAATCGGTTTGTTGTGGGCGTAATTATATAACAGTAATTCGGAGCCGTACCAAGTTGTTACTGTGCTTAATAATAACTATTGATTTTCTGTAACGTAACTCTTGGTTGGTCGAGTTGTAATGTAGGGTGTGGGAATCGAACTCGGGTCGGGATCGAGCTAGTCTTATCACCTAGTCCGCTGTAACAGCGCTGCTGTCTAGAGGGTATAAACTCCCTCTAAATAGGATCTATTTATCTAATTATGATATTATAGTACCTTTTCATCGCAATCTTTACAAAGTTCGTCATAAACAAGAGTCCGGCAATAGAGGATAACCATCTCGGAAGCATCAAACTCATGATGGAGCATAGCTCAGTTTTGAACTTCCCAGAGGAATTCGAAACTCAAAGTTTTTAATCACACTTTAGGATGTAGATCAGTGAGGAAAAGTCCAGCAACCCAAGTGTATGATCATCGGGTGCGGATACGAATGCAATTGAACTCGTGTGTAGCAGTGAGTCCGGTCTAACGAGGTGGAGGACTTAAGTTACTGAACTTAAGTTAAGTATGATAGCCTCAGCGGGGAGGCGAAAAATGCTGGTTGGAAGGGGTCAAATGTGAGTTAGATCGTCCTCCGAAGCAATCTGTTATGTTGCCTATGCGAATTCTAAGCTACCAGATAGAGAGACTTCTACTAAGCCCTGGAAGCCGAGGAGGGGAATTCCAACTTTGCAGGTCAGTTCACGCGTTTACAGGGCAGCAATCCCGCTCCCCTCAAGTGTTCTGCTCCGAGGCGACATGACGACTTCCCATGTGCGCTCCCCGCTTTGGAATACCTTCACCTGTACATACTGAACCAAAGTTGAGACAAGTTGTACAGCGCAGTGTACGTGTGGCGCACTTCCCATGATAACTTCATGGCCCAGGCTGGGCCGCCCAGCAGTGATGTCGTTCGTCATTATTGTACCGACATTTCTGAGTCAGAAGTACTGACGGTAGCGATAATCGGATCATCACAAATAGTTCGATCTACTCCTCATTTACTCAGGGGATCGACAAACCTGGTTCACTACAGACGCATATCCGCTTCGATATTCGCATTATTCGCTTTTCACATCATCTTACTGTCAGTTTCTTCCCAAACTAGATTTTTTAGTTTTCACCAACTTGACGACTGCTGCGAAGACGACACTTGAGGTTTCAATAGTAATTGTTTTTCAAACAAACGCTAGACGAAAACTCAAATGGAAACACAACAATACTTATTCTGGGGACGAAATTTTTGATGTTGAGCAAGGCGGTTGCTCGATGTGCACGCTTGAAGCGTGACGCTTTAGTGCACATCGGACAAAGCAAAGTTTTTGCCTTTTACAGTGTCGGCTCAGCCGACTCGGCTGGCATGCACCTGGGCTTCCCTTCGGATGCTACCTGGGTTGTTTCAGGTTCATTTACTGGAGCTAGCCAGTTATTATTCCTATACCACTCGTTTGAAGATGGGCGGATAAACTTTGATCCAGCTCCGGCTCCCCGCTCTGCTGAGGATAGTATGGGCAGCACCCCGTAGCCAAGGTCTACTTCAGTACTCATTAACTCCATATTCATGTCCTTGAGGTAGTCCCACGAATGGTAAACGTCACCAGACGCCTGGCAGCGTTATTCCGAGACTCTTGTGGGCCGTCATACAGGCATCGTTTCGCGAGATACCCACATCTTTGGTTGTTTGCACTCATACTGGCTAATAAGGCCATAGATCTGCCATCGGAGTAGACCACCTAAAGGAAGAGATAAGAGATACAAGGCCATGAGTCCCTATCGGCTTACATTACTTGAGGGAGAATTTCACGTAAGTGAGAACCGAGCGCTCCACACTTCGTTTTTAATTTGTCTACGTAGCCACGGCTGACTTTGGGGCCCTCGTAGATGGTTATCATTGTCCCCCGGTTGATGGGTTTGACTGCGAAAATTCCCAGGCCTGCTCCCTCTATCTCGCTCATCTTGATGGTAACGGCTGTACTCCTATCGTAGGATGTAGATAATGGTTAACCTATACGAAGAGAGGATTATGATTCGAATATGATGTATTTGTTTGTATTTACCTTCTCGTGATAGATTTTTACGAGCCAGCATGTTGCTGCTCCATTCTACTTGGTGCTCTTTCATCTCCTCATCGACAGTCGTGTTATATTCATGATAATTGTGTGTTGTGAAAAATGAAGTAGATTTTGGATGCTTCGACGATCTTAGCATCAGAATATCTTCCGATCACCACGCCTTTCCTTTTTGTGGTGATATTCCGCGCCGTTAAAGCATATAAATCCTCAATGTGAGACGGTTGATCGTGTGTAGGCCGTGTCACCCACTGGACGAAATAGGCTGGATACAGCATACCGCGACCATCGAGCACTCCAATACGTTGTATGTCAGAGCCGTCGATATCCCCCTTATTGAGTAGGGAAAGTGGTTGTTCCTTCTTCGGAAGAATCGTGTTATAACATTGCAAATCTACATCACCGAAAACATTCTACAGTAATGTGAGTACTACTCGTATGTAGACTGCGATGCAGCGGATGCGCTGTGCGTTTGCGCATAGTGCGCGCAAACGCGCCGCGCACGTGGACTCCTTTCCCGGAGTCTGAAGCTTGAGTGGGATCAGTCTCTCGTTCGCGCGTCGTAATCCTTCACGCGAGTAGCAAGCAGGCCTAAGCACCTAGGTGCTCGATACTAACAATGGCCTGACTTGAGTAAGCGATTTGAGCATGAAGATAATCAGCCACGGGAAGAAACGTTCGACTTGTTTTTCAGACACTGTGCACTTTCTGAGGAAGAATCTCTATCTATCTCCTGATATCTATCTCCTGATAGCCTCTCCTATCAGATGCCACACAAGGAACGAATACTGCATTCGGTTACGCTTTCAGCGGTGATTGACTACTCGCAAAATCAAAAAAGCTCAGCGAGTGGTCACAAAAACGTGTGGGCTCTCACCTAGAGTATTGATGTTATAACTAGTAAACGCAATATCCTATTTCCAGCAACGCTTCGTTTATCACCTCATGCGGTTGTTTCAAGCATGACAATTAGACAACAAATACGCCAGGCACATTCAATAGTAACACTCGACTTCAATCGATGCAGCATTGCTGTAAATAACAATAAATCACTAATAATCACTTTACATCTCAACGACTGGATCATCTAAAGAATACAGAAAAATGCTCAACCTTGGGATCGAACCTGCGCCTACCATAGAGACTTTCGAGAGCTCTTTCCTCCTTGATTCGAGTTGGTTTCTCCCAACCAGGCAACAATAACTGTAATATCATCAACAACATCGTCTTCTTCGCGAAGCCATCGTTTCCAGGCTTCCTGGGCGAGCGCTTCAGCCGCCTTCTGCACGTCTCCAGGAGAGTACCGATCTGCTGTACGCATGCACATAAGAGCTCGCGTACTGTTTACTCACTCAGGATTTCCACAGCCGTTTGACTGCTGATGAATTCCCAAACGCCGTCACTGCAGAGGACCACGAATCGATCTCGAGCTCGATCGATTCCCCTACAGAATTTTCATAGCGACCACCAATGTTGGAGGAACATATGTTCGCTTTCCTCAGCTGACCTCAGAGGTTTTTTATACGAATTCGGGTAGAAGTAACCTCTCCGAAATTCTCTCCTAGCACTTTCATATTGTCACCGGCACATGTAGTTGCCCATGTGCATCTTTCCCACTCTGTAGTGGAGTACGGTACTCCGCATTGTGCGGGAAATCGATATTAGCTACATCATATAGCATACAGGCTATAGGTAAGCAAGCACAATCCGTGCTTGCCGACCTCACCCGTTGCTGCTACTATTGGCACTGGTTTTTCTAATAACCCGTATCGGCATGCCCCCATGCCTTTCGTTCATTGGAGTTTCACCCATGATATGAAAAACACTACAATATTGGAGGACATATTTCACGACTACTGCATAGCACGAATATCGCATTTTTCACCGAGTAATACGCCACTCCACGTAAAACGGGTTGTGAAACTCTATTATAGTCACAACAGGCGCCCACGACAGATGCTCACCTTATATTGATTTCGGGTTCATGTATGACTCCCACGCTGACTGCCATAGAATCACCAAGGGACCGCGACATCGCTAATCCCGGGTAACGTTTGCCTACCGGAAATAACGAAAAAAATTTTCTCGAGATTTACCTTTGAGAAAAACTCGATACGGTATGTCGCCTTTTAGTCTTTTAACCTGATGAAAAGATGAGTTCAAAAACGAGACATATGCATTCAATGGTCGTTCACCCACTGAGGGAAATATTCACATGCGTCAGTGACAATATGAAAATTATGAGGAAATTCCGGGGAATATTGTTGATTTCTCTACACCTCCACCCAAACTTGTATATAAACTCCTGAGCTCAGCCGAGGAAAGCGAACATATATTTCTCCAACACTGCGTTCACCCGATGAATACAGTTCCAGTGAGACGCAAAGGCGTGTCAGACATGTTTCTATATGAAATGACCAGTGTGCGAAACAATGTGCACATGCGTTGGTGACAACATGAAAATTTCGGAGAAATTCTTGTTGGTTTCTGTACACTTTCGTACCACCCTAATTCGTATATAAACTCCTATAAGAAATTAAGACACTCTCCAGCTCAGCTGAGGGACCTCGAACGTATATTCCAAGACTGAAATCGACGATATTCACATATGGAACAAATCTTTTTATTGATACTGAAAATTTCATCCCAGAGAATTAACATTGGAGTTTCACCCGTGATATGGAAGATAATTTTCAAGAAATATCGCGTTTTTCACAGAGTATTACACCACTTCACGTAAAACGGATGAAACTCCAATAGTGCGTTGACTCACTTGACCTCCCTTTGCAACAATCCTGCTTTTTTCCTCTGGAATCTCGGGTTTATGATCTCGCGACAGATCTTCGGCAACAATTTTACCGTTCTCCTAAAAAATTCTTTTATGATTTTAAGATTTTTCCTTATTTTCTCCTTTAAGATTTTTCCTTATTTTCTCCTTTAAGATTTTTCTTTATTTTCTCCTTTGAGATTTTTCCTCATTTTCTCCTTTAAGATTTTTCCTTATTTTCTCCTTTAAGATTTTTCCTTATTTTCTCCTTTAAGATTTTTCCTTATTTTATCCTTTAAGATTTGTCCTTATTTTCTCCTTTGAGATTTTTCCTTATTTTCTCCTTTGAGATTTTTCCTTATTTTCTCCTTCAAGGTTTTTCCTTTTAAAAATAAGATAGAACTCGCAAAAATAAAAACGATAAAATAAATCGATGGTTGAATCGGATTCAAATCATAGAAAAAAAGTGTCGAAACGCCCATAATAAAAAAGATGAAAATTACGCTGACGACGTTGTCGTTGACAACAGCTGAAGTTCATTAGAGTTTCACCCTAGTGATATGAAAAACATATTTCACCATTCACTTCGCGAAATACAATTGTGTTATCGTTCTTATATTTTCTGAGCCGTTTGACATCACTTCACGTTAAACGGGTGAAACTTCATTGATTAAAACGAACTGAATATGATAATTCAATTATCAGAAAAGTAAATAAGGAAAATAGAAAACCCACATTCCCATGGAAACTGTAAGGTCCCACACGGGGAACCTATAATGTTCCTGGAGGATTTTCATATTCTTCAATTAGTTTCCCATGTAAATGTCATCACATTGTGAACATCATTTTCCCCATTGAACTTTCACCCGTTAAAAGTAAATTTTCACGACTACTAAGTAGCGCGAATATCGCATTTTTTACAGAGTATTACGCCATTTCTCACGTTAAACGTGAAACCCTGGAGGGCGTTACCTACATTACTACTGTTGCTAGACGTAAAATGTTCCGTATGTGTAAGAGATTTCTAATAATGGAGTTTCACCCATTTTAAAGTGCCGTAACACTCCGTAAAAAACGCGATATTCGCGGCCTGTAGTAGTCGTGAAATATGTTTTTCACTAGTGTTTTTCATATCACTAGGGTGGTGAAACTCCAATGAACGCGTTTATAGTTTTAAACTGTAATTCTACTTAAGAGGTTACTCCATCCAGGAGTACCAAAGGAGGTATCATATCTTCCAACAGTTCACCGTCTTTGCTCTCGAAACTCTTACATCGATAGTGCCAATGACTGCTCGCGAGTCGCCGACCCAAGCACAGTAAATAGTTTCATCTCTGGTCACGACGACCGTCGCTGTTGTGCCAGAAAGGGAGGAGTCAAACTTCCTTCGAGAACTAGCTTGTTCGCATAGCACTGAGAATGCAATGAGATTGTCCCCGTATCACAAATATCTGTCTCCATTTTTTTTATTTTTTCTATATCGTATATAACGTTTTACGATGTAAGTTTTTCATAACAGATCGTCCGAATATCTTCGACTTCTAGTAGGCTACTATTACTTCTATTCTCAAGAGTGGTCGGCTACGTTGGTTTTCATGCAACTTCAACCGTATCGGAGCAATTCACAGTATAATGATGGGAGATCGTTACAACTCGCCGTTTTTTCAACACCAACACGCTACTAAAAGAGTTCGATAACAAAAATGGAAATTTCTCGCGAAACTTTGCTGAAAAAATGCTCAAACCTGACCGAAACTTACTATTGGTGTATTGAAATGCTCTTTTGAAAGCATCACGGGGAGCGCTATAGAATTCTTTGTCTTTGATAAGTAACTACAAAAGCAGTATAAACCCGTGAGAATAGATGCACATGTGTCGGTGGAAATTTTTAAATTCTGAGGAAATTTCGGGAAATTTTTCGTATGCTAATTCGTATACGAACTCCTACTGAGCTCAGCTGAGGGAAGCGAATATATATATTTCAAGGCGACTCACTCCGGGTAAAGTGTCGTGGCAAAAACTGGAAATATCGTGACCGTACGGGCCGTGACCATCGAAAACGCCGAACCTGATCGCACGTGCTGCTCGATACGATTATCTCAATTTACGGTACATGCCGAGTCCGTCGATACCAATAACGAAAAAATCGTCTTGATTTGGACTTTCGGGTTTTAATCCCTTTTTGCACGCATACCCAACACGGTAGTCGGTGATGTGGGAAAGCCCTACAGCTTCGGTTTTCTTGTTCTGAGTAACAGATTAATCACATCGAGTGACATTCTACGTACAGTGCGTGGCTATCTGCGATATTCTCCGAGATTAATGAAAATCAATTTGGAACTATATCGCATATACAATGGAGTTTCACCTCCATAGTGGTATGAAAGACACTCTAGTGAAAAACGTATTTCACGACTACTTTTTTACGCGTTTTACGCCATTTCACGTAAAACGGGTGAAACTCCAATGTCACAGTCCCGTTTGGAACTGTGATGATAGCGACGACTTGTCCTTCAAAATAACAAACATTTGCATATCAAATTGACATGTACTGTAGTTATGCATATCTAGATTTTCGAGATGGTTTCATTCAACTCGATGAGAGTACGAATATAGACTACGTAACGCTTCTAAAACTTCGATTTACATTGTTATCATATTGATTTTCGAAATCTCAAAAATTGGAAATATCACTTTGCATAACAGTTTGGTTTACACTTGATAATGCACTTATATAAAAAGTAATTCACTCTGTGATATTTACGGTATGGAATTTCTATTACCAACATAGGGTATAGCTGTTCTCAGATTTGCACAATTGGTGTGGTTCGAATTTTCGTTGATATTAATGACCAAGGGAAACTCATTTTCAATTTTCTACATCAGTTTTCCATGTAAATGTCATCACATTAGAAACATATTCCCCATTGTTATCAAACCGTTGAAAAGCATTGAACTAAATGGGTTCCTTTTAAGGACTATGTTCACTTCGAATCCTTTTTGGTTGCTGTTTGTCGGTTTACCACTGAGGGAAAATCGTCTTGCAGAATCGGGGAAAAGATCAATAAGATTATTCCTGGTCACTTGCCGTACTAAACCTGACAATATACTTTCGTCGTCTTGCTGGTTTTTGACCTCGAGTGAACCTCTGTGTTCGTCGCTATCCTCGTGAAGTACTGCCTCAGATTGACTCAGAGTCAGTCGCCTACGCCGAATATATACGCCTTTGCCCTCGGTCGTGGAAAAGCAGACCCCCATAGAGATTAACCGATTTCAGAGACGAGACCGACCAAAATGCGCGTTGGGGCGAGCGCTAAACTATCGACATAGACAGTAATTGACAAACTATGGTAAAATCTGAGTATCACAACCTTTGTCGAGGGACCCCTATCGAGGGTGGCCTTTCTATGCGCTCTCCTAACCTCCGACGACGACTCTCTATGTTATGTATATGTACTTTCTTCGTTATGCTCATTGGCCATTACAGACTCGTTAGTCGTGTTGGGGGAGTTGTCGAGATCATCGTCGTTCAACACAACCATAGGAGAGAAATCAAACCTTAATTTTGCTAGACTGATCATGCTGCTACGAGATAGTATAGAGCAAAACGGTCGGGCGGGCGGCGACCAAAGATATGAGGATATCGTCGGTGGGCTCATCGAGTTCATAATGTGCTCTAGCGGATTCTATAATGTTACTTCAGTGAATGTAGCCAGGCTCGCTTTATCTCCAGGTATACAGTGTGAATGCAAAATAGTATTTTCGAAATCTACTTTAAAATGTGAACCAATGGACGACGTTTTAGAAGCGTTCCGTAGTCTATAACCGTATTCTGGAATTGAAAATGGTCATCTCGAAAAAATAGATATGGTTCGCACTAGGGTTTTGCCCAGGGTCACTAATCTCACGCACGTGTGGCAGCATTTGAAGAATGAAACGCACTCAGGCTGAATAGAATTGCTTGATGACTCCTAAGCCATTCCTCTAAAACTGATGAAAATTCCCACTCCAAAACTCCTCTTGGCAACGTGACAGTATATCGATATAAAATTTAATTATTAAATTTTAATTTAAGTACGCAAAATAGACCGCGCCGGAAGATGCGCTCCGCAGGTGCACACGTGCTTTCGCGTTGCGCACGTAAGTCACCTAAGAGTTTCACAGACCGCGGTGAAGCTCTGGTTCGCACTGTAGTGGGAAATTAAGCCTGCGAACGCGCTAAAGGGACTCTGAGTTCGAGAAGTAGTTCGGAAGTCCAATCAGCATTTCAGAGTTCTGAGAAATAGCATTAGTTGATTTTCAAATCTGCATATCATCGATATCGTTTATATTTTTAATAAAGTCATTTAATGCGCTCAGTACATAGTCTGAGCTCAACAGGTTATTGAGAACCACAGTATATTCTGATGGAGCCACGAGACTCATATTTTCTTATTGTTCAGCAAGGGAAGAAGGAGGCGGAAAAGAGGCAAAAGAGACATTTTGATGCGGGTGAAGGCGCGACGGAAAGCTCGTGAAGGTAATTACTGTTGCTCGGTCGTTGTTTTTAACTAGTCGCTTTCCGCAGCTGAGCTCGGGAGTTTCCTGACTAATCATAGGAGTTGATGTGCGAATTTGGGTAGAAGTGTACAAAAACCAATAGGAATTTACTCACGATGTTCATGTTGATGACCTATTTTTCCCACACTACTTTCTTACGTAGACGTCGGTCCATTCTCGCGGTGTGTTACGAATGCACGTTGATAAATTCTAGTTGTGTTCTGTTAGATTATGGATATGCATAGTATTGGCTACCCGGAGTTGAACTCGTGGGAAATACAATTTCTTGTCACTTTTCTCTTTTGCAGCGGCGGGGCTGATTTATGATGATCGCGAAGTACCGAAGGAGTGATTTTTTGTGGTCGGTAAAGAGGCATAAACTCGGATGGTGTGGAAATTAATGAGTTTCTGGAGATGCTTCGGTGTTTCGTTTGATACGTGACCAATTGGAAATTTCCTTTCAGTTTTATTGCCGATACTACGTGAAGTTCAGTCAAATTGCAAGGAATTTTGTATTGGGTGTATAAGGAAAGGGTTGTGATATGGATAGGGTCTATGAGACTCTCATATATTCAATATAGTGACCAATGTCTGGTATATTGAAATCTATAGGTCGTGGAGACCCAATTATACTTTAGTAATTCTGCTGAAGCATGATTGTAAATTTCCGATACTTGGTCGATTCAAGCATAGAGACACAGTAATAGCCTATATAGAGAGTACTTTTCTCTGGCAAGTCCGGATAATCG